AACCTATACCCGCTGACCGTGAGAACATGCCCCCTGTCTTCTCTGCGCAACGCAACCAACGTCCTGCCTGCACTAGTGCCCGCATTCAGGAGACGAGGGAAAACCCAGATGCTTAATTACACTCAGCTACCTACTAACCCTCCTTCCTCCCGCCCCCAACCTGACGATTATATAAACACTGCAATGAACTGACCATTTTTATTCCCCATGTCATGCACCGCCTGATAATGAATGACCGAAAACAATTAATTGTCAATACAACTTTCAATCGTAAAATGGGAATTTTCGCAGAATTATGTGGTATTTGGTTCGGAAAATAAACTATTGGTCTCAACGTGCTTATTTAGGGAGGTTACACTCCTTTCTGGCATATGTCAATGCTGTTATTCGGCAGTATTGGGACGCTATATCTAAACAAATTCATCGCACTGAGGCAAGGTGGGGTGCAGCATGCAAAAACGGACTGCTAGGTTTTTTTTTCACCCACTATACTCGAGGCTGTCTTCGGTCGCCCTGCCACTGAGTCCGAATGGGAAAGGTAAGAGAGAGAGAGTGCAACAGAGGCTGCTTAACTCTTATGTAAGTATTTAACATACTGGCATAAATCTGTCGTTGCTTTAAAGTGTAGCAGGAAAATTTCACTATGCCCTGCGCATCGTGCTGTGAATCACAGCCATTTCAGATAGTGCGTGACGAATGTTAGGAGACAAACCGATGCAATTGCATTTTCGTTATTACAATACAAAGTCATAGATTAGTATTTTAACAGTAATGGGGGACAAAAATCATTATAATACTTGAAATACTTTGATCCCAAATAATTTGTTCAAAAAGGTCGCGATTTTGGATCATATCGACATCTCAACTTTAACTTCGATCATTTTGCCTTCTAGTTCCTCGAGCATTTGATCTGACATCTCTGTTCTCCTGGCAATAGGCGGTGACCAGCGACAGATAGGCGTATATCGATCAGTTAGGGGACACACTCATTCGTCCATAGTGCCTTTGGAGCTCACACTCGAGCCTCCACCGCAAGACAGAAAGCCATTACCGATAAAGACATGGGAGGCTAGGATGGCCATTTCTGGCTCATTTGCTATCGTCAGATCGTCATACTCAGACCAAGGGGCTGTCACACCCGAACCTCCAACTCACGACCCCTCTGCTCAGAGTCAAACGCCCTAACCATTGAGTGACGAGCTCGTTTTCATGCCGATATTTGATCGGAAATATACAGTGGCTTTTGAATCTGATCAGAGAAGTTGCGTGCCCGTGTATGACTGGCTGAAGATGGCTAATATGCCAGGAATGGCCATCATAGTCGCCCTTGTCTTTCTCGGTAATGTCACACTTTTAGTTTTTAACATATTGCCAGCAAAGATACTAGCCAAAGACCAGGCCACTTGTCCTCCGCCGAACTTAGGCCACTGCATTGCTCAACCGCCGATGTTTCCGTTCATTAGTGGGTTCGTCAGTGCTCTGTCATCTAAGGCCACCTCTTTTTCCGTCATAAACTTTAAAGAAAATCTAACGTAACATTAAATAAGTCTAAAAAATTACATTTTTGTATGCTTCTTGTATTAAATATAAACCACAAGTACAGGAATATAGAAACTCAACTGAAGAGCCATTCTACATATGTAGTCATTTATTACGAAGTTTAACTTTGACTTGCAGTCGGCCGGGTGGGAGGGCATATTTAAAAGTTACGTATAAGCCCCCTCGGTGGAATCCTAATTTGGGTCCCAGCAATTTCTTAACTGCTCATATGTGTTCGCAACAAAATAGCGTGGCATAAATAAACACATGAATTTACTTACATTTCCTATTTACTTATAGTTTATTGGGTTTTACAAATTTGGACATTGTTATGATATAAATGAAATTTCTTGGTATTTCTTTATGTGTGGTGGTTAGAAGGTCGTCTACTTCAACTTACCTGAGGTCCAACTTACCGTTATGGGGTTAGAATAGAGTAGTTTGCGGCGCCAAGCGCGGCACACACATTCAATTTACCTGCGCAACAACTTTGCAATTGTTTATTTCATTTGGTTTATGTAACTCATTTATATTTAAGTTCAGTTTTTAGTTCATTAATATGTTGAATATTTGTATTTTAGTTTTACATTATTTTTTTAGTTTACTGAGTTACGCGTACTTGAGGTTACGTTTTATAGTTAGTTGATTTTAATTTTATTATTTATTTGTGTCATTTGGTTATTTCCCAATGTATGCATAATTGCACACTTCAATTATGGCATGCTATTTTGTTGACAAACATTACATTATTTTAAGGTCACAAAAATTTCCATCACAGAAATCCGAAGAGCAATTGGCGAGCATACGTATACTTTCAATAAATTCTCGTTCGGCCATTAAAGTGTAAAAGGCTAAAATTATGTTCAAAGTTACAGGCAAATTAGTCCAGGGGATAGAGGAGGGGGTTGGGGTAGTAAGAAGCGGCTAACTAAGCGGCAATTAGGGAGAGAAGAGAAAGGAGAGAGGAGGCTCGGAAAAATGCCGGTAGCTAGATGGCCGTTGGCCACGCTAAGCTTGGGGCCTGCAGCAGGTTCTTTTGCGCACACAGAATTGGCGTCCTCCACTGGATAGCAGTTGCTTTTGCTGTTACTAGCAGTCGCTGACCCAATGACTTAGGGTAGTTTTATCGAAAGTATACGTATGCTCGCCAATTGCTCTTCGGATTACATTATTTAACTAATTATTCCTGTCTATTCTATTTTCATAATCTTAATTTTTTATTCATATTTCCTCTCCTTTGCTTTGACCAGAATGTAGACGCTTCATCACACCCGGTACTGTATTACAGAAGCATGGGGCTTTCGCGTGCTGATCTAGGGCCCAAAGAAGGATTTTACCACCTCCACCATATTAAAAGTATCTAGTTAGCAGGATAGATATTTTATGAAGCACTCAACTCACCCAAAGTGAATTTATAGAAGGCTCTGAATCTTGCCGTCATACCAGGTGAGGCAGCACCTGTGGCGTTAAGTCGTAGAATGAGCACTGTGCGCCAGGAGACTATGGGAGTCAGCTCAATTTGGCGACCACTGCGTAGCACGCTGAGGTTATCCTCCTGGGCACACCAGATCTGCGAAGCAGGCACACTGCTACTGCCGGGGGAGCCGGCACTGTTGGTGAGGGCGGACATCCAACCGGGGTCCCACCAGTCACCGAAGTCAAAAGAAGTCTGGTTTCCCTCGAGGAGTCGCAGCTGGAAGTTGTCATCGTTGATCATGCGTGACCCATAGACTGCCAGGTGGCCGTTGTTGCAACTGTAATGTAATAGAGGATCTTTAAAACCGCTTCATCTTTCGACGCATGACAGACGGTTAGGAAAGTCAGTACCGTATTTTCTAGACTCTAAAGCACAGTTAAAGGCCTTTAATTTCCTCAAAAACCGGCAATGCGCCTTATAACACAAAACGCATTATACATCAATTAATTTTGGTTACTTACTTTGTGACTTTTTAGCGTGGAGCGTCGCAAAGTTATCTATACTGTGCTTCACCATAATATTAAATTGTGTGTTTATGGACCCAAAATGGCGCCTGTCAAGAGATACGCTTACGATGCGGGCTCCAAACTCAAGGCTATCAGTCACGCAGTAGAAAATGGGCATAGAGTAATTGCGAGGGAATTCAACATTAATGAATCAAGGCTACGGAGGTGGGGGAAGCAACAAGGTGACCTGCGCCAAGTAAGGAAGACCAAACAAAATTTCCGAGAGAACAAAACGAGATGTTCACCGTTAGGGGACAAAAGTTAACGGTGGATTATTGAACAGAGAGCAACAGGGGGAAGCGTCTCATAGGTCTCTATTCAAATAAAGGGAACAACCTTAGTACTGAACATTCCTATTAATGACTTTCTTTTCGTGAAAAGGTGGAATCTATCCATCCGCACACGAAATACCGTCTCAATGAAACTGCCGAACACGCTCAGTAACTTAGTACATAGGTTAGTACATAGGTGTACTCCGATCTGGTCCAGGATTCAACAATCCTGGATCTTTTCGTCTGGCGAGGCGTTGACACTTCAACTTTTTCTCAAGGACGAAACAATCATGTTACTCGCTATGCACTATGCACCTATGTACTAATCTACATCCCGATCGACAACCGGCAAGACGTCGACCTGGTGGCTCAGTGTATAGGACGTTCGTCACTAGCTCACTGGTCGCGGGTTCGAAACTCGACTGCGGCTGACGACGGCTAATGAGCCAAAAATACGCATATTTCGCAGTCCTAACGTTTGCCGGTAATACATTGGTAACCCTAAGTAACGTTGAAACAATGTTGAGAATCACTGTGGATGCGTTCCATAAAGTTTGACTGACTTATCTGACTGTTTTCTTCCCTTACTGCGCCTTAGAGTTCAATGCGCTTTACGTAACAAAAAGGTTCGAAGATAAACCATTCATTGACAGTGTGCGCCTATCAATCCCGTGCGCCCTATAATGCGGAAAGTATGACAATTGTAGTTTGCATGAAAACGCGCAGCTGGGTAGATTCGGTCTGGAGAGAGAGAAAAGGAGAGAAAGGGGGATGTTCATTTAATTTTGAAATTATCATTTCAAAATGTTGCGCAGTTACGTAATCCATTCATCGTGAATGAAACAGTACAGAACGGTAGGGGAGATCCCAAACAAGGCAGAATGACCAAAGACTCCAATTGGCAAAATCACGCAAAATCGTCCTGGG